AGCAGCTGGATGCAATAATCGCATGCCAATGTGCATTGGCTCGTTTAGTTTACACTCGAAGTAGATTGGTCCCTCTAAGCGAGATCCCAATTCGTCGGTCATCCGACGTGACATCTCCGTTCCCTCCTTCAGGGAACGAGGGTTACATACGTAACCGAGACGTTACTCTTGGTAATAACCGATTTGTGTGGGAACATAACTGATAAATTAGGTAAACCATATTCTGCTGTGTAAACATGGCCATAGAGTAATACACTGTCCCCATGGTGTAGGTAGACCTGGTGTGCCATGGGAAAACTGAAGTGTTTCCAGACAGAGATGGATCAGACCCATATGCTGTGAGTGTCACAATGATAATTACTCAAAATGCCAGCACAATACACTTCTGTTTTATAATCTGTGCATGTTTTCCACACATAGGTACCCAGGAAAATGGGAATATTGCAAACAATGGATAGTGGAAACAGTCTCACCACTGATGGCATTGTGCAGAGGATCATCAAAAGCAGGTGTTACATTCAGCTCTGACTCTGACCGGGGGGGGCGGAATAGCTCTACACACTGTCTACATGCTAAATTTTATTGTGTGGTCAAATATTCCTTTAAACTAAGATGTTTAAAATTTCTGTTTTAAATGGATTCATAATTAAATGATACTAGCTCTTAGAGTGAAAGTGCTGATCCAGAGTTAGTTCCTTGTTTTCTATTTTATTTAGATTGATTTTAGAAGACGATTTCAGATCAGCATTTTAAACTGGGCCATATTATACATGAGCACAGGGATACACTCCTTTACAGTCCGCATATATAGATTTTGATTTTGAGTTTATTTCTTATGTACACGTGTATGGAACTTGTGCAGAATGTGCTATCAATTATAGCCACAAGAGGTCCTCTTATCTGTGGAAATCTGTGTAAAAGAAACCAAAATGGACTGAAAACAACTAACTCTGTTTTGATGTGCTGTGCTATATAATGTGTATAATTATATGTAATGTTTTAAACTAGAAATCTCAATAATGGTACTAACTACTCTAAAAATATAATGGTTTCAGGGACTATAGTATTTTAATTCAACTTTGGACTGACTTTTTTTTTTCCATGTATAAAATATTTTTAATTTATTTAAATATGAAATTTTACTTTTTTTTTAAGCAGATAGTACATCCCCCCTTATATCAACATATTAGTCAACTTGAAAGATACTGGAACTTACTTTTCTTCTTTTTTTTAATTGAACAACTATTACAAGGTGCTGTCTACGTGTGGATACTCAAATTTTTTGGGGGGCCCAAAAATAGCACATTGATTCATATGATCCCATGTTATTTATTCCTGTATTGTTATCAGAAAGATTTATTGTTGTTTTTTTGTCCTTGTAAATATAATACTGTGAAGTACAAAACATTTTCATAAAATATTTCACCATCATCAATAGCCACATCATGGTGTGTTACTTTTTATTTATTTGCAAAAATTCAAATGGTAATCATCTGGGAGTCAGTTAGAAATACCAAGGGTTCACACAAAACAAGGGGAGTCCACTTTTAGTTATTATGCCGCCCGCAGTTGGAATCAGCTTCCAGAAGATATCAGATGTGCTAAAACATTAGTCACATTTAAATGCAGACTCAAAACTCATTTGTTTAGCTGTGCATTTTCTGAATGAGCACTGTGCAATGTCCGAACTGATTGCAATATATTTTATGTATAATCATTTTCTATTCTTACCTGTTTTAAATTCATTTTAAACCTCTTAAATCAATTTTTAAATCATTTTCAGTTTTAAATTCCTTGTTTTGTTGTTGTGATTATTATTATTTTTTTTTTTTTCATTTCTTTTATGTAAAGCACTTTGAATTACCATTGTGTATGAAATGTGCTATATATATATATATATATATATATATATATATGTAAGAGATCACGTCTGCCTGAATAAATATTTAGCTATTGAAATATCATATATATTTTATTTTATTTTATTTTATTTATTTTTTTGACCATTTTGGACCAGCTAATTCTAGGACTGTTTGCTATTATTATTATGCTATTATTATTTTTTTTTTTTAAGCAATGTACTTAATCGTTTTATTGTAGTTAATCGTTTTATTGTAAGGTCTTGCATCACTAATTAGAGAGCACATTTATTTATTTATTTATTTATTTTTATTGCTTCAAACAAGATTAACAAAAAGATTTTAACATATAAATACAACACAACCTATTCACATTATTACAATCATACAGGAACAAACAACATAAAATAAAAAACAATCAAACAGATATTTCTTCCTTTTCCCTAGAGACACATTTAGCATACAATTGAGTTGAAAAGCATAGCGGGGACATTATTTTTCAAAGAATTTCTCCATAAAATTTAACAAAATATCATTCTTTTTGTTATTACAAATAAAAAGAATTTCATTCTTTTTGTTTTTTAACAACTCCATTTCTTGTAAGAATACTTCACATTTAGGTATACAATTCACAAATTTTTGTTTATGAATGTAATATTTACTGTTAATAAATAAATTTACTGTTGTAAATAAAAGTTTACAACATATTTAAAGATTTTGCTTTTGTGTGTGTAAGAACATATAACATCTTTTAAAGATAATTTATAATTAACATTTCTTGGGGCAAATAGAAAAAAGCTAACATCAGACCAAAATTTCAAAGATAAATCAGAGCTGTAAAACAAATGACCCAAGTCTTCCTCGTGTACATTACAAAAACTGCATTTGTTGTCAATATCCATGAATTTTGATCACATTATTACAATCATACAACATACAGGAACAAACAAAATAAAAATAGATAAACTAATAAAAAAAAACAATCAAACAGATAATTCTTTCTTTTCCCTAGAGACACATTTAGCATACAATTGAGTTGAAAAGCATAGCGGGGACATTATTTTTCAAAGAATTTCTCCATAAAATTTAACAAAATATCATTCTTTTTGTTATTACAAATAAAAAGAATTTCATTCTTTTTGTTTTTTAACAACTCCATTTCTTGTAAGAATACTTCACATTTAGGTATACAATTCACAAATTTTTGTTTATGAATGTAATATTTACTGTTAATAAATAAATTTACTGTTGTAAATAAAAGTTTACAACATATTTAAAGATTTTGCTTTTGTGTGTGTAAGAACATATAACATCTTTTAAAGATAATTTATAATTAACATTTCTTGGGGCAAATAGAAAAAAGCTAACATCAGACCAAAATTTCAAAGATAAATCAGAGCTGTAAAACAAATGACCCAAGTCTTCCTCGTGTACATTACAAAAACTGCATTTGTTGTCAATATCCATGAATTTTGATAAGAAAGCTTTACATGGGTAGATTTTGTGGAGTATTTTAAAGTGTACCTCTTTAACTTTATTCAACATGCAAAATTTATATGGATTTAACCATGCCTCTTTCCAATGCATATCAGAAATCTGCGCATTCCAAAAAAATGTCCCTATTGGAGAGATTTTATGATTGGATTGAAAGATTAATCTAATATTTTTATTATTACAGGAATGAGAAAATAGTTTAATACCATCAACTATTAACTCAGGAAGTTTCCTTTCGTGACTTCCAAAAATGAGGTGACTTTTCATTAAGTGTATTAATCCGTTTGGAATGGCTTTTACAACTTTCTGAAACTCTTTAAATGGAATGGAAAAATTGTAGAAAGACATTTCTTCATAAGACAACAAGTTTCCACTTTTATCAAACAGATCCATAACAAGGTATATATATTTTTTCAAACCAATTACACAAAAATAAAGACTTATTCCTAGAGGTAATGAGACAATTGTTCCAAAGAAGCATTTTGTGAGGAGAGAAATTATGATGAAAACAAATTTTCTAAGCCAATAACGCTTGCTGATAAAATGTTGAAAGTTGAATTGGTAATTTCCCAGGCAGGTAGTTACATCTTAATAGAAAGCCTCCAAGCTTTTTGAGAATGAACTGCGGAATAAAGAACCATATTGAGTTTTCATTTCTTTGACAATTTCTTAACCAGTTTAATTTAAAAGAATTGTTAATATACAAAAAATCTAACATCTCTAACCCATCATCAGCTCTTTTGCCTGATAAAATGTCCTTTTTTAATTTGTAATGTTTATTTTTTGCAAATAAAATCCAGGAAAGTTTTATTAATTTCTTTGGCAATTTCATCACTGACATGGAGGGAGAGAGCTGGATAAACAAATCTGGAAATGCCCTCAGCTTTGGAAAGCAAAACTCTCCCAAAAATGGAAAGATCCCTTTGTAACCAATTATTCATTATATATATTTTTTTTTTTTTTATTTTAGGCATAAAATTCAATTGTTCACAAGTATGCTTGTAAGAGCACATTTAATTATAAAGTCCCCATTATGTCCTATGACGTCACGTCATCGAAATCGCATTTTGAACAGGGCTGCGTTCAGCCCCAACAAAAACGGTGCAAAACGTTTTTTAATCGGAAACGGTGATGTGTTGAACACCGTGTTCTGAGGACGCAAGAGTTGCAACTATGGCAGCTGAGAAGGCCATTCTTTG